CCCATCATGATACAGGATTTTAGGAAAAAGTCTTGGGTTTCATTTTCAAAGTGATAGATTTCTTATATTGTATAGTTTTGGACAGAAACAGAATGACCTAGTTTGAGGGTTCAGTTAGAATTCTGTGTTCTTCACAGAACATTTTCCCTACTGAAAACAGATTGATTCTTTTGCCCAAGGATCTCCACAGTTCTTGTTAACGGTGGTGAGTTTTTACATTTTCACGTCAAGACAGACCTCAAGTGCATCACCCACTACTAATACTTTAGGCTTTCTTTTCATCTATCAGCATGGCCTTGTCTTTCTTTTGTTTTTAACTTTGAACATCTGAAAAGATTCATTAACTTGACCTTCCTTTCGAATTAGCTTCGCCAGGACCTCACTGCTTAGAATTAAAGAGATTTAAATGATCTTGAGTTTGTCAAGCAGACTATGAACTTCAAATGCTGGGAAGGTCGGTCTTGCCTGAAGCATAGAAGTTTTTGTACTCAAGAAGGATGAGACTGAAGAACTTGGACTCTCCAGTCGCTTGCTTTGACCTGAACAGGACGTAAGAAAACACCTAGCTCCACATTGCTCCAGTGAGGATTGGTTATGGGCGGAGCTCCTGAATGCTTCTGTACAAAGAGGGGATTCACTGCCTCAGCCCTTCACAGCCTACATGGAGGTCTGAAGCTTTGTGGCAGAAATATACTTTATGAATATACTATGGACTGAATTAAATATTACTTCTAACTTTTATGTTGAGCCCCAATCTCTAAAGTGATATTTGTGAGAACTCTAAGAGATAATTGGGTCTAGATAGTCGGGAATGTGGGTACCCTTTGAAGGGATTAGTGCCCTTAGAGAAGAGCTTGCTGTCACTGTTTGAGTGAACATAGAAGAAGAACACAGCCATAAGTAAGCAAAGGGGAGAGCCTCCACCAGGACCAGTGTAGTAATAGGAGTGGCAGGGCTGTGTCCCCAGCACCCCGGCCGCCTGCTAGCTTATGCCTCGAAATAATTACACGGACACTGTATTCTTTTAAACACTGCTTGGCCCATTAACTCTAGCCCTTACTGGCTAATTCTGATATCCTGATCAACCCATTTCTAATAACCTGTGTAGCACCGGTCTTACCGGGAAAGATTCAGCATGTCTGACCTGGTGGCTTGCTTCGTTGCGTGCATCTGCCCGGGAGAGGGGAGCATGGCCTCTCCTCCAGAGAGCAGAGCTGTCGAGTCTAAGCTCACTTACTCTTCCTCCCAGCATTCTGTTCTGTTTACTCCACCCACCTATGTTCTAACCAATAAAATGGGCCAAGGCAGTTTCTTTATTAGCCAAAGACCTTCCTCCATCAGACGGGATCTTGCTGGCACTCTGATCTTGGACTTCTAGCACCCAGAACTGTGAACCAATTAACTACTGTCAATTCTGCTTCCAGTCTGTGGTATTTTAGCAGCCCAGACCAACATACAAGCATCACTAGAAGCAAAGGAGGACTCAAATATTATCTTTCCTTTTCCCTTGGAGATTTTTGACTTATAATTCTCCTGACAGCTATAGCCCCTGGAATCAAGCATATAGGGACAAGAATGAAAAATTTTGTTTTGCTTCCCAAATTTTTATGTTTGCCAGTAATGAACTGAACTATCAATCTGTAAAGTCCTAAGGGAGTGGATTTTCCTCTCTATAGTCGATACATCAATAAGCCTGAGTAAAAAAAAAAGAATATCAATGATTGGTCGACAGTTTTCCATAAGAAAAGCTTGCCATTATTGGATTTATCTAGTTTCAGAAAGAAATATTTAGAAGTAGCTTAATGTTTAAAACCCAGATGTCTGTTTCTTACCTCCCCTTTACAGTTGTTTTGGTTCTTTGCATTTAGTAAAGAGAAAAAAAAAAAAAAAGAAAAGGCCCATCCTTGAGGCTTTTACTTGGAAGTGGGTTGGTGTGTAATGGGTTTTGGCATAATTCCCTAAGAGGGCTGTTGATCTGCCTAAGCCTAGTCTTTTTCAAAACCGGCAGACTGACTTTTGCAGAAAAATGTTTATTCTTTTAAGTGTGTAGTAGGTGCACACAAGAAAATGAGCACACACCCCTACACATACTCTAATCCATCTCCTAAGGGTCATTATAAATTCTTGCAAGCGATGCAGACTAAATATATAAAAAACGAACAACTTTCCTAATGACTCATAATGTTAAGGTTTACTCTTCCCACAATAAAACTGGGCAATAAACCCACCCACTTGGAATTTTTTTCCTTCACCAAGCCACTACCCCTTATAAGCAGTTTCCTTTGACACACGATTCTCTTCCTCCAGTCTTTAACCCTATATTTGTCAAAATATCAAGCAAGTTATGTAGGATGACGGTGAAGGATCTAGATACTTGAAATAAATATCTAAAGGGAATCTAAGATGTTCAGGTATCCAGATGTATAGAACACTTACTGTCACTGTTGCTTCTGTAGAAAAACACCGTCTTCACCCACCAAACAATTCCTTGACACTTACATGGATCTACTTTTGAGCTCTTTATCCCATGCCACTGGTGAACTGGTCTACCTTTGTGCGAGAGCAGCCCTTGTCAGTGGCTCGAGCTAATCCTGGGTTTCTCATCAGGCATTTTCCATCTTTTTATCTATGAAATGCTGCATGTGTAAGAACCTTGCTGCATTAGTTACTTTTGCTGTAACTGTAACAAAGTATTCTACAAAAGCTACTTCCTGAAAGAAGGAAGCGTCTATCTTGGCTTATGGTTTAGGGGAACACAGTCTAGCATGGCGGTAAAGTTATGGCTGTGGATTGTGAGGCAGCTGGTCACAGGATTCAGAAAGAGATGAATGCTGGCATTTTAGATGGCTTTCTCCTATCTCTACTTTTAAGTTTGCTCTGAGGTCTCAGCTCATGGGGTTGTTCTGCCCACATGCAGGGTAGATTTTTCTTCTCAGTTAAACCTCTCTAGAAATGCCCTTCTAGACATACCCACAAATGTGTCTCCTAGGTGAGTCCAAACGCAGTCAAGTTGAAAATGAAGATTAAGAACCCAGATATATCACTTTAAAAGATAACATTCCATACCTGGCCCCTAAAACCTCATATCAACTCATCTTATAAAGCAATACACATTTAGCTCATCTTGAAAAGCCATCTAATCCTTAGTAGTGCCAACACCGTTCAAAAGCACAGATTCTAATAATCTCCTCTAGGCTCCAAAGCAATCTCTTATTTATGAGTCCTCATAAAACACAATCAATTGGTTACATCCCACTGATGTTCCGTAGCACAGAATAGACATCTAGCTCTCAAATGGAGTGACGGCGCCGGGGGGGGGGGGGAACTAGCAAGGAAATCAACAAATCTTACCTGTTAAATCTCACCTGTTGCTTCAGTGGCAGGAGAAGCCCTGAGTGGCTACTTAGCAGTCTCAACCTTCAGTTCAGTGGAACCATCATTGTTCCCCTTCCCACACAGCAGGAGAGTTATTACCCTGGGACCAAGACTTCTTTATTAGTAGTGCCCAAAGTTGCAGTTACAAGACAGATGATTTTTTAGTGGTTCACTGGGATTAGTAGTGAGAACTGCCACTGTGTCTGCACCGGCTGATATTCACCCCCATGAATCTTGGCTATGGGAGAAATCAATACCATCACATACTGGTTACTGACTTGGGTCATGCACCTACACCTAGAAGGTATTTCTCCTGCTATGAAAGATGTTGCCCTCTGGCTGATATCATAAAGGAGTCTTCAAAAGTCCATTTCACTGTCCTTGCAACCAAGTTAATTCTAGGTGATGGAGAACAAGGGAAGACCAGTGAATTCCATGAGCACAGGCCTTTTCTATACGTCACTTGCCGTGACCAAGTAACTCCTTAGCTATAAATAGTATAAGTAGTGCATGTAAGATACTGTGCCAATGGTAACCGCAAATGGTAGCTTTAGTGGAAGAATTGCAGACAGGAAAAGAAAGGTCACAGCCGGAGTAACTGTCTCCTTTAATAAAACAAAGCTCTACTCTTGGTATAGTTGGAGGAGTAAACTTACTAAAGCAGGCTGCTACTAGGGCTCTGTCTGGTGCTGCAGGGAACTGTCAGACAGTGGATTAGCACTAAACTCCTAGCCTTGCTGGCTATAGCCAGATTGACTTTAGTGAGTGGAAATCATAATGCTTAGCCTCCACATGGTCTGCAACCTTGCCATTGCTCTGTTCATGAGCATATTGGGCAATAATAAAAGTGCCCAAATGATTGGTTTGGAATGCTGGAAACTGGTGTTTCTAGAAGAGCAATCTGTATGATGGAAATTCCTGAAAAATTTTAAAGTTATTTTACAATATATTTTGTGTTTTTCCAAGATCCTCCTCACCTCTCTACCCAAACAACTTTATGCTCTTGTTCTCTTTTCACAAAATAAACAAAAACAAAACCAACTCAGACACACACACACACACACACACACACACACACACACGAAAATCAAGCTGGGCTGTGGTGGTGCATGCCTTTAATCCCAGCACTTGGGAGGCAGAGGCAGGCGGATCTCTATCAGTTTGAGGCCAGCCTTTTTTACAAGGGCTAGTTCTAGGATAGGCTCCAAAAGCTACAGAGAAACTCTGTCTCTAAAAAACAAAACAGAACAAACAAACAAAAAAATGAAAATCAAAATAAACAAACAAAAGACCAATAAGAAAAAAGCCCAAACAAAGCAAAATGAAACAAAAGGGTCTCAAAAAAAAAATACCACAAGATGAGTTCATCTTGTGTTGGCCAGCTACTCCAGGGCACGGGCCTCCCTGGGGTTGTGATTAACACACCCAATGACACTTTCCCTTTGCCAGTGGGTATCAAGTGCAGATAGCTTCTTGGTTAGGGATGTGACCCTGTGTCTACCTCCCTCTCAGTGGACCCTGTCTGGCTTGAAGCTGAGCAGGTCTGGCGCATGTTGCCACAGTCTTTATGAGCTCACATGTGTATTGGTCCCATATGTGTATTGTGTCTGGAAGGCATTGCTTCCTTAGAGTTAGCCAACTGTTTATTGTGATTTTCATTTAGAGTAACTTAGACTTCACGTGTCCCATTTCAGTTCCCCCAGGGTGGCCAGTGACCAGGTTTCTCGGGGACCACTGACCTTTTCCTCTGGGCTCTGTGGTTCCATTTGGAATGACTTTGATTTCACTGCTCTGATCTGTACTGCTCGCTGCATTTTATAGTCATCATCTTTGTTTATATCATCTTTTATTTGATTAAATACATATATTTTATATATTAACCAATTTAGAGTATTTCTCATATTAAAATACTTTAATGTACTAATTCTCTGAATTTAAGGAATCCACTTGGCTTGTTTCTCTAATTTCAAACATTAAGACAAGAGAAGTGCAGCATTCAGTTGAGTTCTGCATTTGAAAATTCAATTTTAGGAGAACAAATATTCCTAGAATTGCAGGTAAGGAATCAACAGGCCAGAGGTTGAACTAATCATGTTGATGTGGTTTAGCACTTTGTTTATCTCTGTTACTAATCTACCCTTTAATGTACAAACTAGGCAGACTGAAAACTCTAGTTTACAGGATGACTAAGAGGTGAAGTGCATCCACTCGCTCTCTTTATCCATGGATGTTTATCTGCCGTTTACTGCTCATCCTTCATGTCTTGAGTCTTTTGCTGAGCAGCGTGCTCTGATCTGAGCATACACCGTTTCTTTTTCTGCTGTGGTTTTCCCTGGACTCGGTGGCGCCATGGTCGGGCTGTTCCACGTGGACTTCCTGCAAGACAGGCCCACAAAAAGTCCGGTAGACGTCCTCCTCTGCTGTCAGCCAACCCCCTTCCTCTGAGTTAACAGGACATCCCCACCCCTAAGAAAACCCCAGGCATTCGAAAGATGACGGCGACATGGATTCCGAGACTCCGGACAAAATTTTGTGCACGCGCAGTAACTGATTGGCTTCAGGGTGCAACTCCCTGCTGCGAACTCTTGTTTGTTCAAGCTGGTCAGTGAGTGTGGAGTGAATCCATTTTGCAACCATTATTGTGACCCAGATTTGATAAACGATTCCTGCCCTTTCAGTAATAATGGGTCCCTTGACTGGGTTGTGTTGTGTGGGGAGACAGAGGGTGTCTTGTTAGAAATCATTTGCTCTTTTTCAAACACCCCAATGTTTTTTTTTTAACCATGAAAAGGACTTTGCTGACTGCGCTGGGTGTGCAGGCAGGCCCTGGGCACTGAATGTTCCCTTGCCATCTGAGCTATAAACAAATAACAAATTATGCAACAAAGCCTCTCAAGGTTTTGCTTTTCTGTTTCCAGGCCCCGGGTGCTCTTTCTCACACCATGGGCAGCTCGGGAAGAAAACGGAAAAGCTTTCTGCTGGAAGCGCATCAAGAGCAGAAACTAGGCCACTCGGTGCTAGTGATTCCCCGGGGCTCCTGGCTGCTGTGGAAGCTTCCATGTAGCTCATTTCAGAACCAGTTCTTGGTGTTTCAGAGCTAGGCTGCTAAGGCCTGTGTAGATGGTGAAAGAGCATTGTGGGAACTGAACAGCATCATGGGAACCAGAGGCCATTGCAGGCGGCTTTCTGAGCCAGCAGGAGAAAGCTCAGAGCAGGTTAGTCTCTCCCCATTTTTGAAATGAAATCTTAATAGGCCAGAAGAGGGAGGTCCTTTGTTTTTATTTATTTTATGTGAGAATAAACCTGTGAGAATGGTAATTTGGTTTCATTTTTTGCAGACGATACACTATTGGCTCTAGGAACTTAATTGTGCTCTCAGAATTGCAGTGATAACCTTCGTTTAGCAAGGCTGCTTTTGTTCTTAATAGTTATGGTGCATTAAACAGAGCTATCCCTTAGTCCCCCCAATGCTCTAAGCTTTTCCCAGAAATAAAGGAGGCCACCATTTACCTTTGTTCTGCAAACTGTATTCTCAGAGATCACCCCATCACTCTTGGTTTCCGTGACTTCTTCTAAAACTAAATCAAAGAAGATACAGAGTTTGACCAGCATACTTAAAAATAGTGTCTAGGAATATCCTTAGGAAGGAAGGAGTTGAGAGGCAATGTAATGCGCTTAACAAATGTTACTATTCCAATTGCTGGCTTGCATCTTTTCAACCTTCTTTTATTGCTATTATTTCATGTGTTTGGGTGTTTTGCTTGTGTGTATGTTTGTGCACCAAGTAGGTACCTGATGCCCTCTGAAGCCAGAGGGTGATGGATCCTTTGGAGTTGGTGTTACAGATGATTGTAAATTACTGGCTGGGTGCTGGAAATTGAACCCTGGTCTTTTGGTAGAACAGTGGCCACTCTTAACTGCTGAGCCACCTCTCTAGGTCTAGTTTATAATTTGATTTTAGTTTTTCGTTGATAATTTGTTTAGGGAAATGGCACTGAGATTGTTTTACCTGTGTCTTGTTCACATAGTCAAGTTCTTCTGGGCTGCTAGTAATATCACTTAGTTCAGTCTGAGTAGGCTCAGACTTGGTAACAGGGTGTTTTACTCTGTACTCTTCTACCTGATGCTGTGGGACTACAGGACACACCATTTGGTAAGGATGTTTGACAGCGTTGAGTATGAGAGCATTCTGAGTCCAAGGAAAAACCCTACTATGAACAGCAGGATGATATAGAAGTTTCCAAACGTTTCTGAGCTACGATGTGTTGACTTGTGACTTCTCATAATATTTTAACCCCAATGGTTGGGAATTGAGCAGAGAGGCTGAATACATATCTATATAATATGGGTAAAACTAAACAACAATAAAAATTGGCTTACTATTTCAATAGTTCTAGGATTTCAACACTGTTTTACAGTGATTATTTACTTCCAATGCAATTTACATTTATAACAGAAATAAATTAGTTTAGTTCTAGAATATGAAAGAACAGAAGATAAAATGCCCACGGTGGGTCAGAAGTCTAGATGATCAATGTGTTCTCGAGGTAAACAAACAGGTTGAAACCATTTTGACATTTGAGGATTTCTTAAACAAAAATAATTCAAAGTGAAATGATTCAGCGTATGGCCAAAATTTGTTCATCTATACCCTGTGATTTTTATTAAAAAAAAACATTTCAGATCTCTCTTGTCTCCTTGATTTGACTGTATTTGAACTGGGGTCTTTGTGTACAATCCAGGTTGACCTTGAGTCCCTTGTCCTCACGCCTTGTCACCTGAATGTTAGCTCGGCTTGTGAATGGGCCCTCCCAAAGCAGGCTGATGCATTGTTATCTCAATGGCTCAATGTGAAACCACGCAGTGTTAGTGGCGTGATCCCAGTGCAGACACACAGTTTGAAAAGCCTACTTATTGTCCACAGGGAAGAGAAATGGTTAACAAAACAGGGCGAGCTGAGCGTGATGGTGTGCACCTATAATCCCAGCAACTCACAAGGTTGAGGCAGGAAGATCGTGACTCTAAGGCTAGCCTTGGCTACACAATGAGACCTTATCTAAAAAGCAAAACAGCAAACACCATTTCACAATTAACCAAACTAGCGATAGCAATAATGTGCTAATTTACTAAAAACATATTTGGAGTTGTGTGAAGATATAAATGGGAATGTTTGATTTACATAGTTTACTTCTGCAGTTACCTGATTTTCTTTGAAGAGGAAGTTATTCTTTTATATTTTTCCTTGTGTCATGATCCTGCTGAATAGGAGGGAAGGGCAGGGCATTGTAGAGCATGGGAAGGAAGGGAGAAGCATCTTTAAGAGAGTGACCAACCTGTTAAGATGCCATCAAGGTGGTCCACCATGAACTTTGCATCTTCTTCTGTAAAGCACATGGGTGGCTTGATTTTGAGCACATTCCTGTGGGGGCCATCGGCACTGAGAAGCACCCCTTTCTCCTTCATCCTAATCAGTGCAGGAAAGGACCATGAGCATGTGCAGTGGGGATGAGGGACCGTGAGCACATGCAGTGGAGGATGAGGGGCAGGCAGTGAGCACGTGCAGTGGGGATGAGGGGCAGGCAGTGAGCACGTGCAGTGGGGATGAAGGACCGTGAGCACATGCAGTGGAGGATGAGGGGCAGGCAGTGAGCATGTGCAGTGGGGATGAAGGGCAGTGAGCATGTGCAGTGGGGATGAGGGGCAGTGAGCACGTGCAGTGGGGATGAAGGACCGTGAGCACGTGCAGTGGGGATGAAGGACCGTGAGCACGTGCAGTGGGGATGAAGGGCCGTGAGCACGTGCAGTGGGGATGAGGGGCCGTGAGCACGTGCAGTGGGGATGAGGGGCCGTGAGCACGTGCAGTGGGGATGAGGGACCGTGAGCACGTGCAGTGGGGATGAGGGGCCGTGAGCACGTGCAGTGGGGATGGGGGCCGTGAGCACGTGCAGTGGGGATGGGGTCGTGAGCACGTGCAGTGGGGATGAGGGGCAGGCAGTGAGCACGTGCAGTGGGGATGAAGGACCGTGAGCACGTGCAGTGGGGATGAGGGGGCAGTGAGCACGTGCAGTGGGGATGAAGGACCGTGAGCACGTGCAGTGGGGATGAGGGGGCAGTGAGCATGTGCAGTAGGGATGAGGGGCAGTGAGCACGTGCAGTGGGGATGAGGGGGCATGAATTTACTTATAAATGACGTGCTGGGCTTCGGCTGTTGCAGGTGTCCTTTTCTCATGGTCCTTCACCAAATCAATGCCAATAAAAAGGCCAACACCTCTGAAGAAGAGGAAAAAGAGTCCATGTGTACTCTCTGAGCCCCGCACTGTCACCAAATGACATTTAATGTCAAACTGAGTGTGATGTTAAGTGGAAACGCAACTGATTTTAACTAGCTCAAGAGGCCACTAGCATCATAGTTGCTTCTCATGTTTGAAACAAGTTTTGCCATCAGAGATTTCCCACCTCACTTAGTTTTATAAGAGGATCATACTTTAAACAATTGTGTTTATATATGCATGTATGTGTGCGTAGGGAATGCATGTGTACACAGGCACGTGTGTGCATGTGACTGTGGTGGCCAGGGGCCAGCCTCGGCGGTGTTAGTCAGGGGCCATCTCTCTTAACGATAGCCTGTGTGCACTACGGTTGCAGGTGAACACCACTCACCTGCCGTGGTAATGAAGGTTTCGGGGACCGATTTAGGTCCCTGCGCTTGTACAGCAAACTCTTTACCCACTGAGCACACTCTCCAGTCCTCAAACAACACTTGATGCCATTTAATTTCTCAGGCTACTCCTTACAACTTTTTATAACTATCTATGAAAAATACCCAGCAATGAAGATAGCATTTCCCTCCTCATCCACACATACTTGGAATAATCCTATCTTCCTTCCTTTCCCGGGCTTAAAATTATCCTAACTTTACAGAACAAAAGTCTGCAATTTTTAAAAAATATTTATTTATTTATTTATTATGTATACAATATTCTATCTGAAAAAAAAAGAACAGCTATGTAAAAAAAAAAATTCTGTCTGCATATATGCCTGCAGTCCAGAAGAGGGCACCAGACCTCATTACAGATGGTTGTGAGCCACCATGTGGTTGCTGGGAATTGAACTCAGGACCTTTGGAAGAGCAGGCAATGCTCTTAACTGCCGAGCCATCTCTCCAGCCCCCAAAGCCTGCAAATTTGAGGAAAGATATGTACCCCCATGTTGCCAGGGTGGTCCCTGAGTCCTGGATTAAAACCCCTGCTCTCTCTGTTTCTCAGTGTTTTAGAAACTTGAGTTCAAGCTTTCAAGTTTACAAGGTTGTTATGGAGAAACAAATGCATACATGATGGTCGGTCAACCCACCTGATATCCCCTATCAAAGGGTGCTTAGCTTTCTGTGCCTCCAGTAGCTCCATGAGGTAATTCCCCACTCGGACAGCATTTCCCTGAAGGTTTTCTTTCTCAATTACGTCCAGCACAGCCAACCCAACAGCACAAGACACTGGATTTCCTCCATACTACAGACGAAGATGAGAAAACAGCAATGGAATTAGTGGTATTTCTTCATTCATGAGAAATTTGGCATTCAACGTATGTCTGAAAAACAAAACCGATTTTAATGCCTTCAGCAGTCCCCACAAAAGTATATATTATTAAAGATAAGAATGCTTATGTAAATGCCATATATATAAATTTTTAAAATATATTTTATTTTGTAATAGTAACCTATCAGACTTAGAAGACAGAATGATTTTGCTCATTGGAACGGAGTGAAAATTCACTCCTGGAAAATTCTCCAGGATATGTATCTAGTGTGAGGGATTATAAGGGGTTTATTGGTTCCCCCAAGCAACAGAAAATATTAGATTGTGAATTAAAGATTCTGAAGTGTGGTTCAGTAATGGAAGTCAGTGTTTGTGTCCTTAAAGAGCTGAGAGAAAACAGCTAAGCAATATTTTCTCTGAATAACAAGCTCTTTCTGTGCTTGCACCCTTGCTTTTGCTGCTGTGCACACAACAGCGACTCTTCCAACCTAAAGCATTTACTTGGGAGGATAAAGCCAAAGACAGCTTTCCAAGGGTCAACACGGAGTCTCTCTTATGAGAGTTGACAGATATTCACGGTACCAAATCATCTAAAGCTTTCAAAGTGTTTAAGGAATTTCAACACAACACAAGATAAGGAAGATCACATCATCTGTTAATGAAACAACCCCCAAAGATTAGCAGGAAATCTATCCTGACAAAAATCTAACAAGCATGTTATCAGAAAAGGAAAAGTTCAAAGGGAATCCAGGCTGGTGTGATTGAAGTTTGAGTATTAGAATGATATGCTGGTAATTTTTTTAAAGATTTATTTATTATGTATACAGTGTTCTGCCTGTATGTCTGCCTGCAGGCCAGAAGAGGGCACCAGATATCATTACAAATGGTTATAAGCTGCCATGTAGGTGCTGGGAATTGAACTCAGGACCTCTGGAAGAGAAGCCAGTGCTCCTACCTCTGAGCCATCTCTCCAGTCCAGAATGGTATGCTGGTTAATTGGAGCCCTTTTCTTTATTATCTAAGAATATGCATTAATTTCCCCTCTTAGAATTAAAGCTGCGAACCCAAACTTACTGTATTGAAATACTCTATGCCAGTGCTGCTGAAGGTTTCTGCAATTTCTTTGGTTGTCACCACACAGGCCATGGGGTGACCGTTGCCCATAGGCTTCCCCATGGTGACGATGTCTGGAATGAAGTCTTCGCCATGCATTTGGAAGCTCCAGAAATGCCTCCCAGCTCTACCAAAGCCTACTTGAACTTCATCAGCGATAAACACGCCCCCTGCCCTGCGAACATGTCTGAAAAGCAAAGAGATATGCGGAGGAGTGTCCCCAACACTACCCAAAAAAGACGATTGGAAGCAGAGAAGTATTAACCCAAAGCCTCCATCTGAGGACTCAAAACCATGTAGCAACATTACAGGCCAATCGCAATTTCTAGATTAGATTTACCCCATAAGGGATGTATGCTACTTAAAGTAAGCTGTATTGCAACATTCCACTTGGGGAGAGAGTTGGACAAGTGGCTCTATCCAGGGCTATTCTTCATGTCTACTAATTGACAAGGCTTAGTTATGGGCCAATGAGACAGGATGCCCAGCAGGAGCTGGGGTATAGTTCTGCAGGCTGGACTATGTTAAACCCTGTATCTGCTGATCTTGGTTAAGATCAGGGACATCCTAGAGTCCCAAGGCAGCAGGCAGACAGCAGCAGTTTTTTTTTTATTAGCTAATCTGGAAGTATGACCTTGTAGACTTGCCACAGTACCCTCAGTTTGACCAAGGATGCCCAAGTCAAGTACATACTCAGCCACTTTCTGGAAGTAGCCTGCTGGAGGAATAATTTGTCCACCGCAACTCTGCATGGATTCAGCAATAAAGGCGGCAATCTATACAAAAGAAGATGGGGTCACAATCTTTACAAGACACCTACCCCCTAAAAAGTTTCCTATATGACAGGTTTTTATTTTTAAAGATTTATTTTTATTGATGTGTACGTGGGTGTTCTGCATGCCTGTTTTCTGTTCTATGTACATGCAGTACCCAAAGAGGCCAGAAGAGGGCACTGGATTCTCTGCAACTGAAGTTACAGAGCATTCTTAACTCTGCTCTGTAGATGTGGGAACCAAACCTGGGACTTGAAAGAACATGCACTCTTAATGACTAAGCCATCTCTACAGCCTCAAGAGCACACCATGGTAAAGAAGATTTATCTTTAACTTTATGCATGTGTGTGTACATGTGTGCAGGTGTCGGAAGGCATGAAGCCTTCCCCCCTCCCCCGTCCCCTCGAGATAGAGCTGTGAGTAGCTGTGACTTTGGTGCTGGGAACCAAACCCGGGTCCTCTGCAAGACCAGTGTGTGTTCTTGACGGCTGAGCCATCTTTCCAGCCCTTTGAGTAGGTTTAAAATGACTAGAAACAGACCTGTGGTGCGTGCTACACAGTCTGCTAATTAAAAACAAAAGCTGCCTGTGGCCATGACCTAAATAAAGTCCTGCCCCCTGGGGAAATGAAAACCGCACGAGGAGAGCTTAATTAAGGGCCAATCTCTTTTGTCAGGCTGTGCCGAGTAAAAGTATTGTTTTGATGTCTATGACATGAACCTTTGCAAACTGATCGAGGTTCAGAAGGCATGACCTTGGTGCCCGTTCCCTAGTTAGTAAAATAGGACTGTTTGAGGCTAGAGTCTGCACCAGGGGAGCGGGCACACAGCCTGGAGCTCCACACAGCACTCGGTCTGTATTGGAACCAGACTTTCCTCAAAAGTTAGGCATCTCAACAGAAACTACAGGGGAAGCATGTCAGGAGGAGAAGTTCGAAGTGGCAATCACTGACGGAAGAAGAGAAAGCTCAAAAAGGCACGAGGAAAGAAATGTAGAGAACCAAGTCTGCCCCTAGACTCCTACCAGAACCGGCGTAAACGCTTTACTTCAGAGTTACTTAGTGTCTTAGCTCTAAAATGAGGCTGCCGGAGTCTAGAAATTTCTGCTCCAACCTTCCATGATATCACAAGCACAGCCGACATTTAGAAGTGTATGCCCCGTATTTATTTTTGCATAGCTTTCAGCATTGGTAACACAGTGCCATCAGGTCCCAAACTGTGTAGCACTGATATTGATAGAAAACGAAACAAAACTAAAACAACAAAAACCAAAAATCACCTAGACCCTCCATTAGCAGCAGACTCCATATCATTTTGCTGAGGTAAAAACAAAAAAATTTTTTTGAAAGCATCAAAACTGCAGGGAGGAGACTCGGAAGCTTCTATGGAAGGTAGAGATTTAGGCTCATTTGCACCAAGATGTCATAAAGGACCTGAAAGCAAGGCAGGGGTGGGGGTGGCAGTGTGGAGGTGGGGAGGGGGGTAGGAGAGCTACTCTAGAAAAAAAGAACGGATCTCCTGTCACGAAGGCAAAAGAATTTTTAATTCACTGGAAAAGGCAAATCACTTTTATTTAATGAAGCATTCATATCGTCACGTCTGTGCCAAAAACCAGTTTAAAGGCTGCGTGTTGTCTAGTTGCTTCTAATCTGCACCTACGCAGCCCTGCAGTGGTGGAGACTAGAACACGAATCTGCAGACAGTGGGGTGAAGACCGAAAGCAGGAACTCCTTTCCTACCCTCTACAACTCCGGTGCCCTCTGGGAAGTCCGGGCCTGGGGGCGGGAAAGGTCGTTTTTCTGCCTTGGGGTAGTGAGGAGCCGAGCTTCAATTCTGTGGTTCCAGGAGCCCCCTAGCTCCAACAGCATCATCGCTCCCTTGAGGATCTGAGAGCTGGGACTGCCCTGGACACTGAAGCCCCTCTGCCGCTTTGCTTCCCCACGACCCTCACAGTTGGGAGAGCCTGGCTTTAGGAACCAGATTCTTTGCGGTATGTGAGGGATCAGAATTAGCTAGCAGCATTGGAGAAGAGAGTAGTTTTATATCTAAGATAGATAACATTTTACTATGACAGTGTAACACCAAAACCAAGTGAAAATGTAACCAGCAAAGAACAGAATGGAATTTTCGATTTAATCTTTTTTCTTTTCTGTAGAGAAAACTATTATAACTATTTCCGTAAAAGACGTTAAGTGTTTCCCATAGTGCCCACCTTCCTTCCTCTGCTCTGAGCATCTTTGATGATTTTCTTCACTTCGTCGGCATAGGCTGTGGCTGCGTCTTCGTGGTCCTCTCTGTATTTCCCTCTGTAAGTATCTGGAGTTGGTGCCTAGAGCATCAGATGATACGGTTTCTCATTATTTGCCTCTTGGCCAAACTTGAAAACCAAGAGGTCATCTATTCCCCCCGCCAGGGCATGTTGGAGAGTGGTTGTGTTGACCCAAGAACCCCCAGTGCCTTTTATCTCTGTACATTTCTTTTTTTGGTTTTTTTCGAGACAGGGTTTCTCTGTGGCTTTGGAGCCTGTCCTGGAACTAGCTCTGTAGACCAGGCTGGTCTCGAACTCACAGGGATCCGCCTGCCTCTGCCTCCCGAGTGCTGGGATTAAAGGCGTGCGCCACCATCGCCCGCTTATCTCTGTACATTTCTGAAGGCTCCGAAGAACTGGCATCCTTCAATTTTGAGCTGGGCCCAGACCCTCTAAATCAAAAATTTATCCCTATTCACATAGAAAGCAAATACAGATTGGCAGATGCAATTATGTTATATAAAAATAAAAAGAGGTGGAGACTGTACTAATGAGTGTTTGTAGAACAAACTTAGGCTGTCAATTATATCACAAACTACGATCACTTAGAAAACTTGGGTTACCTTAGTGCTTATTCTTAAAGCCTTGAAATAAAGCAGTGAGGTCTCTAAGGGTCCACTGACCCTCAACTAACACAACCATATGAAGTGAATTTCACTGTTTCAACAACTTGTCTGGCTTCTCCATTTGATGTAATATACCTTTAAAACAATTCACATTATTTACATAATTATGATTTATATAAAATTTTAAATTTTATTAGTTTTTAAAACGTTTTGGTCATTCCTTGTGGATTTTATTTTTTTTATTTTTTGGTTTTTCGAGATAGGGTTTCTCTGTAGCTTTGGAACCTCTTCCTGGAACTCCCTTTGTAGACCAGGCTGGCCTCGAACTCACAGAGATCCACCTGCCTCTATCTCCCCAGTGCTGGGATTAAAGGCGTGCGCCACCACTGCCCGGCTTCCTTGTGGATTTTATATCATGCAATTCTAATCCCACTCATCTTCCCATTTTTTCATATCTACCCTCTGCCCTTGCAACCTCTCCCCCCCCAATAAAAGAAACTTTAAAAGAAAAACAAAAAGCAAACACAAAACCAAACAGAACAAAACAAAAAGTCTCGGCATGTGTGCCACGCCAAGCTGTGGCATGACACAGAAATCGCGCAGTATACCCTGTAGTCCATAAACTTCTAAGTATTCATTGCAGTGAGCCATTGGTCTGGCTTGAGGCCTCAGCTTTCTGCTTTATGTAAATTATTTTTATGATCGTCATAGAAACTCTCTTAGCTCTGGGTGTCGATCTAGTACTAGTAATTGGAAGAGTAACTGAAGACCAGTGGGCACAAGAACAAAACAATAGCTGCTGAAAATCTCATCTGTCACTAAACTCTCTGACCAGGATTCTCAGTGTGAGCCACATGCTGCCAGTACGTGGCCCTCTGAGGTCAGCATGTTATATGACCGCTCTGATTCTCAGTTTCTCTCCCATGGGTCCACTCTGCTCCGAGGGTTGGGCTGGATGGCACTAGGCATTCTAGCCCCAGCATTCTGATGATAGGACGTGGGGATACTTACCACATGTACAAATTCCTTCTTGACATCTTTGCCCTTCTGAAACTTATAGGGACTGATCTCAATTAATGATGTCAGGTGACCGTGGTAAGCACTGAAATGGTAAAGAAACGCAATGGAAATTGTTCCAAGAAAGGTGTTTTTCCATATGAAAGCCAATATTGTATACTACTCTGTATTCGTCGTCTGGGGAGAATTTCCTTGCTGGTGCCACATATAACTGTATGACTGGATCCAGCCCTTCCTGTCAGTACCGGCCATTTGATATGTCCATTTTCTTTTCTACATACAATGAAGTACACGAGAAATCTAATGTGTCCTCATAGGCAATGGTTTTTTATTACAGTAGGAAAATAAACATTTTTGAATTATATTGCTAAATTAGATTCTTTAAATTTGAATGTTTTCATATCTTCATGCAATCCTGTGATTTGAGTTTTCTAGATTCTTTTTTGTTTCATTTTGTTTCCTTCCTTCCTCCCTCTCCCCTCCTTTCTTTCTTTTTTTGACACAGTGTTTCCCTGTGAAACAGTCCTAGCTATCCTGGAACTCTCTTTGTAGACCAGGCTGGCCTCAAACTCACAGAGATCCTCCTGCCTCTGCCTTCCAAGTGCTTGGATTAAAGGCGTGCGCCACCATCACCTAGTTTAGTTTTCTACATGCTTAACCACTTTAAGCATTTGTTTATTTCTTGTGTGTGCATATGCAGCCTGGACAACTGGAAGGAGTTAGGGCTTTTCTTCCTCCATGTGGATCCAGGGGCATCAGACTCCGGCTGCCAGGCTTGCCAAGCCTGCTGAGCCACCTTATCAGCCTAATTTTTAATTTTTTAAAAATATTTATTTATTTGTTATATATACAATATTCTGTCTGTGTGTATGCCTGAAGGCTAGAAGAGGGCACCAGACCCCTTTACACATAGTTGTGAGTCACCATGTGGTTGCTGGGAATTGAACTCAGGACCTTTGGAAGAGCAGGCAATGCTCTTAACCCCTGAGCCATGTCTTCAGCCCCCCAGCCTAATTTTTTAAAAAACATACATCTCTCATACTGTTGTCTGGTCTTGAACTCCTGGCTTCAAGTGATTATTCTGTCTCAGTTGGGACTACAAGCATGTGCCACCATGCCTGGTTAGTAAGTCTGAATTTGAATGTTTCCATATCTTCATGCAATCCTGAGATTTGAGTTTTCTACATTCTTTTTTGTTTCCTCCTTCCCTCCCCCCTTTCTTTTTTCTGAGATGGGGTTTCTCTGTGAAATAGTCCTAGCTATCTTGTATATCCCCCACCCCCACTGTGGCATTTCTTTTCTTTTTTTTTAATTTTATTTTTACATCCTAGCCAAAGATTTCTCTCCCTCCACTTTTCCCAGCCCCCTACTTCCCCCCACCCCCATCCACTCTTCTTCCCCTGTTTCTCCTCAGATACAGGTAGGCATCCCATGGATATCAGCCAGCCACAGTTTATCAAGCTGCAGTGAAAGCAGGCATCCCTTCCTCCACTAAGGTTGGATGAGACAATCCAGCGGGAAGAGTAGGTCCCCAAACCTGGCCACAGAGTCAGAGACATTCCCTGATCTCACTGCCATGGCTTTCCATTGGGGATGCTGTCTAGTGAATGGTTGGTTGGGGATACTAGGCTAACACTAGTTTTCTGGAAGAAAAACTTGAACTGAGTGGCGACTGAGTAGCTACAAGATACTTTTCTCTCCCTTAAGGCACAAATGGCGATGATATTCCTCTTTCTATTTCTTGCCCAGAAATATAATCAGCAGATGTGGAGAGAAAGGTCTAAAAACCCATCTACAAATAATTCCAAATAGAGATCCTCTGACCTAGGCTGTATAGAAATCTGCAAAGCAGCAGCAAAAGGAGGAAACTCCTGACTGGAAAAATTAAAAAGAATACGAAAAGGCAACGCCAAGGAATGATAAAATCATAAGATTTTTGAGGAGATTCTCAAATCAACAGTGCCAGTTAAGATATGTTACACCCATTGGATTAGCAACAGTTGGGAAAAACAGAAAGCTGGGTAGTATTGGGTTTGGTTAGACTTTGGAGAGGGGACCTTTCTTGTGCTGTGTCTGGAGTTGTAACCACACTGGAGACAAAATATTGAAACCTTTAATGGCACCTTCATGTACCTTGCTGCCCACCTATCTTGTTTCTGGAATTTATCCCTAGGGAATTCTCGGAATATCCTGTGGAGGACCGTGTAGAAGGATTTCTGCTGGTGCTGGGAGCAGATGCAGTCAGTGACCGTCACTGGGGGTACTGCCCAGTGAGAACAGCACTGTTATAATACCGTAAGGCAGCAACTCCTCGCGTGGAGCTATGGGCACTGGCAGCATCTCTAGTCTGACCTTAGAGGTGCTGTAGTGTAAAACAGACAGTGGACTTTCGATACTCAGTGAAAAAAAAAAAGAAATGAAAGATATGTCAATGTAGTTTATGCTGATTACATATTAAAATGACAGCATGTTGGCTACCCCAAACTACTGGAAGATTTAAAATCCCATACATAGCTCACATTATGTTTCTATTGTCAGAACTGAGTTAGAGGAATGCAATGCCTTTCAGGAACTCTGTGTGGGATGAAACATGAAAAGAGAGATCGACACTAACTTTGGTAAAGCAGATGCACGTAAGATAACATGTTTTACATGATGTAAAAAATGAAAGCACGTGGAAGTACATGCAGAGCTCGTTGGGAAGAGGAAAGGGATCCTTGGAAGGAGGGAGACAGGAAGGGTAATGGTGGAGAACATGATTGGAAAACACATGCACATGTATGAAAATGTTGTAGTGAAATCCATTATTCTAGAGTTACCATGTACTAGTAAAACATTTCAAATAGCATAACATAGATGCTAAATATATTATTATAGTCTTCCATAGGTCCACAAGTATATAAGTAAGTAAGTCAATAAATATATGGTAAATACATTATTATACTTGTCCATAGGTGATGGAGGATGAGAATTTTAAAAAAGAAACACCCCACCTCCTATACACAAAACCTAAGAATATGTTTCATAGCAGAGGTGATTTTTTAGGTGTATTGAGGACCATTCAATGAGAGCTTTATTCTGGATCATCTGGGAGGAGCCCACACAGTAACAAATGTCCTATAAGAGAAAGTAGGAGGCAGGAGCAGGATGGAGGTGTGGGGAATTGAAGCAGAGGCTGAGTCGGGTGATGGCTGACTTTGAAGGTGAAGGCCGGGACTGCAAGCCATGAGACACAGACATAAGACGTGGGAGAGTCAAGAATTCCCACAGATAACCCTGCTTTTAGCTCAGGGAGTCATTTTAGCTTTCTGACTTACAGAAACAATACAGATCACTTTGTATTATTTGAACCCAAAATTTCGTAGCAACAAATGAAGAAGCGACAGAAAATGAATCCCATTAAGAGGAGTCTACATGAGGTCCGTATTTAATTCCACTCTGTAGATTTTTGGGCATAATGTGAACCCATATGTGGTGGCATGGAGGGATACAAGGGCAGACAAAATAATTTTTAAAATGTTAGTAAACATGGATGCCAAATATCTTGTTTAAAATTAGCAAATTCATGTTCGAGAGGTAATAAGATCATTCGTAGCCATGAGCAAATAAAAATACTAAAGTTTTAAATTTGCTATAAATTGCTGTCTTTAATATTAAGTACAGCGGATAATCCCAATAGAGAAGCAAATGTTTGGATTTTAAAGAAATTATTCTTATTTTTTTTAAAAAAAAAAAAAATTTTGGGCTCTTTGTTTCTATGGCCTGCCTGCACCAAGCAGGGTAGGCGCTTTGTTTGCAACCTGCCCACCAGCACGGAGGCCTGATCTCTAGGCGCCAGGAGACCCAGCGTTGGGGTGAGTTTCTGACCCTGCGGCGCCAGCCCGGGAAGGGGAGTTCAGAGGTTCCTTGGCCCCCTGTCCTTCTTGAGCTCTCGGCAGGGCCCCCACTCCCTGCATACCTCCTCTTTCTTCCTAGCCCACCCAGCTCCCATCCAGAACCCTCCCCACTTTGCCCCACCGCCTTCTTTCTGCACATAACATCACCCAGCCCAGCCAGTCTGGGCACTGGGTCCGAATCATCGGGGCACCCAAGCGGGCGGGAGTCTCTTTGTTTCTATGGCCTGCCTGCACCAAGCAGGGTAGGCGCTTTGTTTGCGACCTGCCCACCAGCACGGAGGCCTGATCTCTCGGCGCCAGGAGACCCAGCCTTGGGGAGACCCAGCGTTGGGGAGAGACAACGTTGGGGAGATCCAGCATTGGGTAGGCAAGGAGACCTGATCCGGTAAAGAAGATCCATAAGGGAGCATTTGGAAGAAGAGATGGGTAGACGCCAAGGCAAGAATTCGCCCAACAAGCTGAAAAGCAACATGAAGCCACCAGAAACCAGCGACCTCACAACGGGAGGACATGAACACCTTAATCAAGAAGAAGTAGAAAAGGTTGACTTCATGAAAGTGATTGACGCCCTTAAACAGCATGTAAAAAATGCCCTTATAGAAATGGATGAGAAATATAACAGAAAGTTTGAAGATCTGAATAAATCAGTGAATGATACCCTAGAAAACCAAGGAAAAACAATCAAACAGATAATGGAAACGGTGCAAGACTTGAAAACTGAAATGGAGGCAAAGAAGAAAACACAAACAGAGGGCCGGCTGGACATGGAAAATTTAAGTAAACAAACAGAGTCTACAGAAACAAGCATAACCAACAGAATAAAAGAGATAGAAGAAAGAATCTCAGATTCTGAAGATACCATAGAGAAAATAAACACTCTGATCAAAGAAAACAGCAAGTCCAACAAACTCTCATCACAAAATATTCAGGAAATATGGGACACAATAAAAAGACCAAACCTAAGAATAATAGGAGTAGAAGAAGGAGAAGAAGTGCAGCTCAATGGTCCAGAAAATATATTTAATAAAATTATAGAAGAAAACTTTCCCAACCTAAAGAAAGATATACCTATGAAGGTTCAAGAAGCATACAGAACACCGAATAGGCTGGATCAAAAAAGAACATCCCCTCGCCATATAATTATTAAAACACAAAGCATACAGAATAAGGAAAGAATATTAAGAGCTGC